TAATATATAAGGAGCCCTGGTAGCTCAACAGTTCAGCACTTGGCTGCTAACTGAAAGGTTGGTGGTTCGAACCCACCCAGCGGCTCTGCGGGAGAAAGACCTGGTGATTTGCTCGTGTAAAGATGACAGCCTAGAAAATCCTATGGGGCAGTTCTACTCTGGCTTACTGCATTGGGCAAATCTTCTGTCAGAGACCTCTCAAAGTTAAAAAGCAAAGACTAAGGTGCACTTGACCCAAGCCATGGTGTTTTCAGTCACCTCATATGCATGCAAAAGCTGGACAATGAATAAGGAAGACCAGAGAAGAGCTGATGCCTTTGAATTATGATGCTGGTGAAGAATACTGAGTATACCATGGACTGCCAAAAGAACGAACAAATCTGTCTTGGAAGTAGTACAGCCAGAATGCTCCTTGGAAGCGAGGATGTACTTTGTACTTTGTCTCATGTGCTTCAGACACGTTATCAGGAGAACCAGTCCCTGGAGAAGGACATGATGCTTGGTAAAGTAGAGGATCATCGAAAAAGAGGAAGACCCTCAACGAAATGGATTGACACAGTGGCTGCAACAGTAGGCTCAAGCATAACAACGATTGTGAGGATGGGGCAGGACCGGGCCGTGTTTCATTTTATTGTACGTAGGGTCACTATGAGTCACTATTGAGTCGGAATCAACTCGGTGGTACCTGACAACAACAACAGCTAATGTACGGATTAAAAATAAAATCTTTATAACGTCTACGTATTTACCCATTAAAATGAAACCGTCATTTAAAACCACTACCATTTGCTCTTCAGTGCACTGAAAGTAAGCTTCTGTACTCACCACAGCAACTGACAGGGGGTGTCCCTTAATGATCTCATTCAAAGGCCTGCCTCAAGCCATCCACTGCTGAGCCTCCAGTCTCCTGGGAGGATGTGGCTTTCTCAGACATCGCTGGTTTCCACAGAGGGCTTCTGTCCTTTTGTAGTCATTCCACGTGCAGTCTGCTCTTTTGACAAAGTGCTTGTCTGTATTCAGAACATCCTCAGTACTAATATACCAAGAAGCTTCAGTGTTCTCAGCACCGGTCCAGAGCTAACACAAGACATTAGGACTGCCTGCAAAACGGGATCCTATCATGGAATGAGAAGTAAACAACTCTAATATATCCATACCACCGTCTGTGAGTTTGTCATACTGTGGTATCGTACTGTGTAGCTGTGATGCCGAAAGATATGCCACTGGTATCTCAAGTACTAGCAAGGTCACCCATGGTGGACAGGTTTTAGTGCAGCTTCTAGACTAAGACAGACTAGGAAGAAAGGCCTGGTCATCCATTACCAAAAAATCAGCCAGTGAAAACCCTTTTGATCACAACAGAACATTGTCTAGTATAGTACTGGAAAATGGGCCCCTAGGTTGGAAGATACTCAGAATACGCAGTGGCCGCAACAATGGGCTGGAGCAAACCAATGGCTGTGAAAATGGTGTAGGACTGGGTAATGTTTCATTCTGTTGTGGTGTTAGTTTTCCCATTTAGGTCCTTGATACATTTTAAATTGGCGTTTGTGCATGGTGTGAGGTACGTATCCTGATTCCTTCTTCTGCACGTGGAAATCCAAATTTTCCTAGCACCGTTTGTTGAAGAGACTGTTCCTTGCCCATTGAATGGACTTAGCATCAGTATGGATTGAACTGTGTTCAATCCAAATATGTGTTGTAAATCTTACATCTGTGGTTATAATCCCATTTGGGAATGGGTTTTCTTTGTTATATTAATAAGGCAGTATTAACCAGTGGAGGGTGTGTCTTTAGTCAATGTCTTTTGAGATATAAAAGAGATTAAATAAGCTAACAGCAAGCAAGCAGACATGGGGAAAGATAGACTCCAGGCCACATGAACATCAGCAAGGCGCCAAGGAATAGAAGCTGAAGAGACAAGGACCTTCCCCAGAGCCAACAGAGAGAGAAGCCTTTCTGTAGAGCCGTTACCCTGAATTTGGACTTCTAGCCTTCCAAACTGTGAGAAAATAAATTTTTGGTAGTTAAAGCCACCCACTTGTGGTATTTCTGTTACAGCAAAACTAGATAACTAAGACAGCATCCTTGGTAAAAATCAAGTCGACCCTAGATGTAAGGCTTTATTTCTGTACTCTCAATTCTATTCCATTGGCCTCTGTGTCTGTTATAATACCCGTACCAGGCTGTTTTAATTACTGTGACTTTATTGTATGTTTTGAAATCAGGAAGTGCAAGTCCTTCTTTATTCTTCTTCAAGACTGCCTTAGCTGTTTGGGGTCCTTTGCCCTTCCATGTGAACTTTTGACTTGGCTTTTCTCTTTCTGCAAATAAGACTGTTGGAATTTACATTAAATTATATTGAATTTATGGATTGCTTTGGGTAGTATTGACACCTTAACTATATTACGCTTTATAATCCATAAACATGGAATGTCCTTCTGTTTGTTAAAAAAAAAAAAAAAAAACCGTTACCAAGGCGTCGATTCTGACTCATAGCGACCGTATAGGACAGAGTACAACTGCCCACCAGGGCCTGAGTTTGTTGGGTCTTCTTTAATTTCTTTTAGTAATGTTTTATAGTTTCCTGTGTACAAGTCTTTCACCTTCCTGGTTAAATTTATTCCTGGGTACATTGTTCTTTTAGATGCCATTTTAAATAGTCATGTTTCCTTAATTTTCTTTTCCACTTGCTCATTGCTGATGTGTAGAAATCCAGCAGATTCTTACGGTTGATCTTGTTCCCTGCCACCTTGCTGAATTCACTCATTAGTTCTAATAGCTTTCTCGTCCTCAGTAGTGTCTTTGACATTGTCTGTAGTCTTACTCATTTTCTGTCTACTTGCTGTATCAGTTACTGAAAGCAGAATTGTGAAATCTTTGTCTGAATTTGTGTGTTTCTCCATTCAGTTCCATTGGTGTTTGCTTTATGTATTTTGAAGTGCACACATTTAGAATTACTGTGTTTTATAGATGAGTTGACCTGTTTATCACATAAAGTATTCCCCATCTGTCCCTAATGGTAGTCATTCATTGTTCTAAAGTCTAGATGTCCGTTATTGATACAGCTACTCCAGTTCTTTTGAATTGTGGTTGCATAACATATAGTTTCTCATCCTTTTATTTGTTGCCTATCTGTGTATTTATATTTGAAGTAGATTTCTTGTAGAAAATATATAGTTGGGTGTCGTTTTTTGTCGTTATTTTATTTCGCTATTTTGGGCATATGTATAATATTTATAAACCTGGCATAAGATGGAAACCCTGGTGGTGCAGTGCTTAAGACCTACAGCTGCCAACCAAACGGCAGGCAGTTCGAATCCACCAGCCGCTCCGTGGAAACCCTATGGGGCAGTTCTACTCTGTCCTATAGGGTTGCTATGAGTCGGAATTGACTCGATGGTAACAAGTTTGTTTTTTGTTTTTTTTTTTGGCGTGAGGTAATTATCTGCCCATCCCATCATCCCTGTCATTTCTGTGTCTGTTTCTACTGAATGTGTTTTCTCTGCTTCTGGGTTGTTTTTATCTACTTGTTTGCAGGCCTGATAACTTTTACCCTGTGGAGTGCTAGACTGTGCTTCATTGGGTTGACTTTTTCTGGCCCAGAGTTAAGAATCTGTCCACTCCTTGCTTTTAGGCTCCGATAGGGATATTTCTCTAAATTGTCAAGCACTCAAACAGTATCTGTTGCCTTGCCAAGTGGTTTTAGGTTTTGAGAAAATGACTGTGTCAATCTTTTCTTGTTTTTGACAAAGTAGGGACGTTATCTCATTTAATTTTTAAAACGAGAATGATCATTTCATTATTTAAAATGCCACCATAGCAGTTTGTACGGATTTAGATGCTACTGTTTTCCTAATCAGAGTCCCTGATTGGTGGACTAATGCCTCAGCTGCTAGCCGAAAACAAGGAGGATTGAGTCTGCTCAGAAACCTGTTGCCTTCGAGTTGATTCCAACTAACAGTGACCCTATAGGACAGGGTAGAACTTCCCCATAGCCTTTCCAAGGCTATAAGTCTTTAAAGACGCAGAGCAGCTGGTGGGTCCGAACTGTCAGCCTTTCGGTTAGCAGCCAAGTGGTTAACCACTGTGCCACCGGGGCTCCTTTTCCAGTCTGCCCAGAGGCGTCTCAAAAGATAAGCCCTGGCGATCTATTCCAAAAACTCAGTCATTGAAAACCCGCTGAAGCACGGTTCCTGACGCACAGGGTCGCCATGCTTTGGAACGGACTCTAGTGCAACTGGTGGGATTTGGCGGTTCTACTCAGTGTAGGTTAAAGGGGAGCGTGTGCGGGCCTGTTATTTCTAACACATTTCAGACAACCAGCCGTCTTAATCGACTCAATGAATAACCGCGTTAACCTGTGTGTTTGCGGTCGTTGATCCTAACGGTTAATAAGAATGTGGGAATGTTCTTTTCCCATGGTGTGTGTTTGTTGTTCTCGTTGTCATTCAGCACTATCAAGCAAGGTTCATTATATTTTCTTATCCCTGGTTTAGGTAGCGCTCAGCTATCTCCCCAGCATTTCTCCTCAGCCTCTGGTGGAGCCAATTCATGATTTCCTCTGCTCAGCTGTCTGAGGAGTGACTGAATAACTTTCCGTGCTCATGGCGGCCTACCGCCTTCCCCAAGCACAATGGCCTGCTCCCAGGTCGAGGCCCCTCCCTGTGCCCCTGGCTTCTTGTTTTCCACGTTTCAGCAAGAGCCTATCAGCCCAAAGAGCAGCCTTTCTTTCCAGTAAAGCCATCTTCTATTACTTTGGGGAATACTAGAGTTAAACCCTGAATTGCATATAGATTGTTTTGTTTTTTTTTTCTTTTGGAGTAGGGATGTTTCGAAGCCGATAACCCCTCTTAAGACAATTTGTCTTAGATCAGGTGACTCCTCGGAAGAGTTAGCAAAAGACCACCGCGTGCCCCCGCAACACCTCCCGTTCCCAGGAAGGCCTTGCTGCCGGGTACTCACCCACCTCACCGAAGCCTCTCCCTCCTCCTCCCTAGGTGTTGAAAAACTGATCCATCACCTGCGGAAACACGACATACCCTGTGCCGTTGCCACCAGCTCGGGGACGGCGTCCTTTGAAGAGAAGACGAGCCAACACAAGGAGTTCTTCAGCCTGTTCCATCACGTCGTGCTGGGGGATGACCCAGAAGTGCGGAGTGGCAAGCCGAGCCCTGACATATTCCTGGCCTGCGCAAAGAGGTTTTCTCCCACTCCTCCACTGGACAAGGTCAGTTGCGTATTGATGGAAGATGGCAGCCACGGGCTGTGTTTCACAGAGTCATAGCCACGTGGCATTGGGTAAATAGCTAAGGGCTTTGTTTGCAACGCTCGAGGGCTACTTTGAGATGCTCCTTAGGGCTTGGCTGTCGGGGAGTAAGACCTCTTGGTTGATAGTTGTGTGGGAAGATGACACTGATTATTCTGCAAGATTATACCTGCCTAGTCACCAGGCCAGTGAGGCTCAGCCGGAATCTTCTGGAATGCACAAACATACCTAAAAAAGGAATATGTTTTGCAGAATACCACCTGTCTTGGTTATCTAGTGCTGTTATAACAGAAATATCACAAGGGGGTGGCTTTCACAAACAGAAATTTGTTTTCTCACAGTTTTGGAGGTGACAGCTCTAGGGGAAGGCTTTCTCTCTCTCTCTGTCTGCTTGAGGGAAGGCCCTTGTCTTTTTCAGCTTCTGTATCCTGGTTCCTTGGAGATCTTCATGTGGCATGGCAGCTGTCTTCCCCAGTCTGTGCTTGCTTGCTTGCTTAATCTGCTCTTTTTATGTCTCAGAAGAGATTGGTTTAAGGCACACCCTACACTAGTACTGCTACATTAACATAACAGAGAAAACCCACTCCCAAATGGGATTATAATCACAGGCATAGGGATTAGGATTTACAACACACATTTTGGGGGGTGGGGGGGTGATGCAGTTCAATCCATGACAGTGCCTAATCCACCATTCTGCAGGGAAGGGAGAGTTTCAGTGATTGGATCTACAGCGTCGTTATTACTTTTGTAAGTAGACTTCTCGGCGTGTGTTCCTTGGGTACACACTGCTTCATACTGTTCTGCAGACTCATGCCGGCAGGGACAGTTCTTGAGCGTCAGGATCTGTGGGGAGACATGTATGCGAAAGCCGCATGTAGCCCTTTGCATGCCGTCTTGAGAGCAGAAAACTAAAGAAACAACCTCATGGTATACAAGAGAAAGCAGCAAATCTCTTTTTCTTAATAATTGCTCGTCCTTGTATGCTGTGTTTATATTTTGAATTCCTTCTCAGCACTTTCTCTGGAGGGAATTCTTAGTAGTGCTTAGTAGTGCTGTTTGGCCGGCGCAGACAGTCAAGCACTCAGCTAATAACCACAAGGTTGGAGGTTTGAGTCCACCCAGAGGCACCTCAGAAGAAAGGCCTGGTGCTCTGCTTCTGAAAAATCAGCCATTGAAAACCATGGGAGCTCAGTTCTACTCTGACACACAGGGGGTCCCCATGAATGGGAATCAACTCGGCGGCACTGGTTATTCCCCTCAGTACTTCAAGTAGAGAAAAAAAAGACGGATGGGTAACTCCCCGGCCCCGCATCAGTTAGTAGATTTATAACGACAAACCTGCAGAAGCACTCCTAAATAAGAGCCTGTTTTGAGTGTGTCACTTGCTCCTTTTGTGGTTCTTCTTCTCTTTTAGAGGTAGGATCATTGTATAATAAGGGAAAATGCCAACAAGGTTTCATTTAGTCCACGCCTTTTTTTTTTCCCCAAGTGAAACATTGATATTTATTGTGGAAAAAAATCTTAAGTCTCTGGAAATAGTTATCCACAAAAGAATTTGATGGGTGAATATTTATGCGATGCTATTATAAAACCTGTTGCCATCGAGTCGATTCCGACTCATAGTGACCCTATACAGAGTAGAACTGCCCTGTAGGGTTTCCAGGGAGCAGCTGGTGAATTCGAACTGCTGACCTTTTGGTTAGCAGCTGAACTTTTAACCACTGCGCCACCAGGGCCCTGATGCTGTTACAGTCCTTCCTGTATCATTTTTAAAACGCCCTAAATGTTGTAAACTAAAAAAATTTGTTTTTTATTACATCCTCCAAAATACATCTGTTTTTTTATTCTTTGACCTCCACTTCCACTGCTGTCGAGTTGATTCCGACTCATAGCGACCCCATAGGGTTTCCAAGGCTGTAAATCTTTACGAAAGCAGACTGCCTCATCTTTCTGCCGCGGAGCGGGTGGTGGGTTCGAACTGCCTACCTTTCAGTTAGCAGCCAAGCGCTTTAACCACTGCGCCACCAGGACTGTTAGTTCGCCCTCCACTTAGTTACCTTAATAGTGAGTTCGTGTGCTTCCTTAAAACACGGACCAAAGTTGGTGACCTCACCAGGCGAAAATGCCACCTCTGCGCTCCTGGTATTTAACTTGGTCACGTTGGTAAGGGTAGTTTATTTACCAAGTCTTTTCTGGTGTTTGATAACTTGAGGTTTCAGAGAACCAGCCAGTAAAAATATAATCTAGATACCTAGAAACGACTTCATCAGATTAGTTGGTCCTATGTTAGCCATTAGAGTTGCATTGATTTTTAACATTTATTTTGGCTTTTCAACTGGTAATCGTGGCTAATATTTATTGACTTTGTGCTAAGTACCCTGCTAAGTATTTGACATCCAATTTAATGTAGGGCGATAAATTATTCACAGATTTGGGGCATCTTCTTTATCCCTGTAATTGGAGGGGGATGATGTAGTTCATAGGATTTTGGGCTCATAAATAGCACCCCTTTTCACTGCCCCGCGTGCATAGCATCAGCTTCAGTTCATAGCGCCGTGTTTTAAAGCCTGTGGTTTGGACTACTCTCCAGTGAAACCTGGGCGCGACGCACCTTTCTGGCGACGCTTGTGGAGAAGGCATCCCGGATCCTTGAGTGCAGCTTGTTGGCTTCGCACACAGCCGAGCCCCAACAGTGAGAGTAAGCGATGGGTTTGGGCCAGTCCTGTCTGGGAGTGCGTGCGGTAACAAAAGGGACATTTCAGATAACTGTGGAAAAGGTGGGCGCCTCCTGGGAATAGGCTCAGGACCTGCGCCTAGCCAGTGGGTCTCTGACTCCCTTCTGACACAGAAATGAATTCCAGGTGGGTCAGATGTTACTGTGTAAGACTTGAGTCAGGCAGCGGCCATGGCCCTCTGGGTCGTCTGCACTAACCCTTCCTCTAAGAACAAAGGAGCACCTGGGCACCAGACGGAAAACACCTTTGAAGGGACTTGATGACTTGACAGGCAGGGGCCGGGTGCAGGCGCAGGATCCCAGAAAAGGAAAACCCAAGGAGGAAAGTCCACATTTGGGACCATTGTCCCCCAGACATGTCTGCTTATTCTAGACGAAGTGGCTGGCAGACACCTGGGGCTGAGTTAAACCCTTGGCTGCTAAAGGAAAGGTCAGCAGTTGGAACCCACCAGCGGCTCCGCGGCAGAAAGATATGGCAGTCTGCTTCCATAAAGATTACTGCGTTAGAAACCACGGGGTAGTTCTGCTCCGGCCTACAGGGTCGCTGTGAGTCAGAGTCCACTCGACAGCAGTGGGGGGCTACGAGAATAAAGATTGCAGTAGAGGGCTTGCCAAAGAGGAGAGTGGGGTGGCCCTGCCAAGCCCCCAGGCTGTGAGCTGAGACACCAGAGGGCCATACCTAGAAGTAGGGATTGATGGGAAGGAAATAGACTGGTGCCCAGCCCAGAGCAACCGGGCATCAGAAGAGAGAGATGACCCCTAAGTGGCACAAATGGTTTGCGGTTGGCTACTAGCTGAAAGGTTGGCTGTTTAGACCCACTCAGCAGCACCACAGAAGAAAGGCCTGGTGATCTGCTTCCAGAGAGATCACAGCCAAGATAACGCAATGGAGCAGTTGTACTCTGTAACACATGGGGTCACCGTGAGTCAGAATGGACTTGACAATGGTTACGTTTGGTTTTCTAGAAGAGAGAAGGCAGCACACTTGAAAAACAGAGAAACAACAGAGTGGATCCTAGATAAGGCCGGAGTTATCAGACTCAGACTTTGAAAGAGTTATGCTCAACGAATGAAACACGAGATGGAGAGTTTCGGCAGAGAACCCTGTAAAAAAATGAACCGACTATAACAGCTGTATGTGCCAACACAGATGAGTCTCATTAGCATACTACTGAGCAAGAGAAGCCAAACACGAAACAATGTAGGATAAGTGAATTCAGCAAGATTGCAGGATATGAGAAACCAGACCAAACCAAACCTGTTGCCGTCAAGTTGATTCCAACTCACAGCAGTGCTATCGGGTTGCGAAGCGCCGCCCCGTAGGGTTTCCCAGGCTGTAATCTTTACGGAAGCAGACTGCCGCTTCTTTCTCCTGTGAAGCGCCTGGTGGGGTCCTTCTTTCCGTTAGCAGCTAAGCGCTTAACCACTGCACCAGCTCAGTATTCAAAAATGACTTGTGTTTCAGTATATTGTATACAATGTATAGATACAGTGTACAATACAATACAGTATACAGTGTGTACTAGCAGCAAGTAATTGGAAAAAGGAATTGTAACAAAATTCAGGTGCAATAACATCAAAAAGCATCCAATAGGTAGCATAAAGTTAACAAAATGGGAAATATGTCAACACTGAAATAGACAAAGCATCGCTTATATTTGTCAGGGCCGAATATATCAAAATGGAGCAAGGGAAGCATTTATTAGCATTATATGGAACTTGAAACATTGAAAAAATATTTATAAATTGGACTAGAGGAACACTAAACACTTCCATATAACTAATGTTAGTAATGGGAGTCAAAAGACTTATTTACATAAATTGAGAAAAAAAATCTCCACCACAAATCAAAGGACTACTTTTTCTAATACCCAAAGAGATTTTGTAAATTAAAAAGGGAATGATAGATCAGAAAAGTGGGCCAAGAACTTGAATATGTAACTCACAAAACACCAATAACTGTATGGAAAGATACTTTATCTCGCTAATAAGAAAATGCAAACTACAAAGAAATTATTTCCCAGCCATCAGCTCTGTAAAGACAAAGATTAAAATGCACATTTTTGGTGTGTTTGCAAGGACACTCTCAATCCCTTTGGCAGGAGCATAAATAAGAGGACGCGTTGACAGATTGTGAAATGCACATTTGTCCTTCCAGTTCACTTTCAGGCTGCTGAGCAAATGAAGGAGTCCCTGGGTGGAACAAACGGTTAACATGCTCAGCTAT